AGACAACAGACACAACAACCCCTCAGCAGCAGCAGCAGCAGCAGCAGCAAGAGGTAGCAGCAGCAGCAAGAAGCAGCAGCAGCAGCAGGGACAGCAGCAAGGAGCAGCAGCAGCAGCAGCAGCAAGAGCAGCAAGGAGCAGCAGTAGCAGCAGCAAGAGCAGCAAGGAGCAGCAGTAGCAGCAGCAGCAGCAGCAAGTAGCAGCAGCAGCAGCAGCAGCAACAGCAAGAGCAGCATATACCTAAGAACTTCCTCCATGGGTCTCCGCCTGCTGCAGTAGGTGGTGTCTCTTGCTGCAGCGAGTGCAGCAGCAAGCCTCTGCTGCTGCTCCTCCTTTGACAGCAGCTGTACATACACCGGGGGCCCCACAGTCTCCCCCCCAGCAGCACAGAGAGGCAGCACTCTAACAGCTCCTTCTGCTACTGCAGCAGCAGCGCGGCTTGGCTGTTGCTGCTGCTGCTGCTGCTGCTGCTCGTTCTCACTTGCTGCTGCTGCTGCTGCTGCTGCTTTTTGTAATACTGCAGCAGGGAGGTTGCAGCGCGTATTTGCAGTGTATAGGCAGCTTCGAAGATATAATGATGAGGGGCCCCCCTTCCCATTGTTATATTCTTGAGACAAAGAAGAAGCAATCTTAGCTGCTTCTTCTCTTGTAGCAGGCTGCGCCCTGCTGCTGCTGCTGCTGCTGCTGCTGCTGCTGGGGGGCAGCAGCGAGAAATAAGGTAAATGACTAATATCGAAGAAGGGGACAGGAGGCCTCAGTGCTGCTGCTGCTTCAGCAAGGAGTTTGTCTTCCTCTTCATCTCCTGCTGCTGCTGCTGTCTCCTGCTGCTGCTCTTGCTGCTGCTGCTGCTGCTGCTGCTGCTTCCTGCGCTTGCGGAGGGAAGCAGCAGTTAGAGGGCTAGCAGCAGCAGAATAAAGCCCGTTTAACTCGTCTCCTCTCTTTGTGCTGCTGAGTCTCCGTTTGCTGCAGCCGAGTTCATTTGCTGCAGCATCTGCTGCTGTAGGGGGCCCCCAAGGGGGCCCCCCCTCTGCTGCATGCATCTCTGGGGGCCCCCATTGGCTGCAGTTCTGCGATTGTAGTTCTCTCATCTCTTCTTCTAAGGACAGACAATTTGATTGAGAAGCATCTAACAGACTATCGTCTTCTAATAAAGAAATACTATTTGCTGCTGCTGCTGCTCCTGCTGCTGCTGCACTGGGGGGCCCCCTAAAAGAAGGGGGGCCCCCAGTAGGGGGCCCCCTAGAAGTAGGGGGGCCCCCAGTGGGGGGCCCCCTATAAGAAGGGGGGCCCCCAGTAGGGGGCCCCCTATAAGGAGGGGGGCCCCTAGCAGAATTCATAGAAAGGGGGGCCCCTATTGGGGGCCCCCCTAAAGAAGAAGAAGAGGGGCCCTCGAATTGTTCTGCCTCTGCAATGAGGTCATCTATATTCTCCTCATAACCATCCATTGTAAACCCTAAACCCTAAACCCTAAACCCTAAACCCTAAACCCTAAACCCTAAACACTAATCCTTTGGCATTTGGGAGAAGGTTTCGATGTTTTGAAGGATAGAGGAGAAGTAGTGCTGCGCTTTGTTGTTGTTGTTTGCTCATAGGCAGAGACAAACCCTAAACCCTAAACCCTAAACACTAAACCCTAAACCCTAAACCCTCTCCGCGGCAGGGTTAGCATAAGAGATGATGAGGCAGACAGAAGAGATCTGTGTTATCTTCGACTTGTAATTACTACACTTTAGGGTTTAGGGTTTAGGGTTTAGGGTTTAGGGCTGTCGCTGTTTCAAAGAAGATCGGGGCCCGTGGGGTTGGTGGGGTTGTCTTTATAACACCATCGGTAAAAGCCTAGGGTTTAGGGTTTAGGGTTTAGGGTTTAGGGTTTATAATTAATAATTTATTAGAGATAAAATAAACAAATAAATTGTTTAATTTTATTATTTTAATTTATTTAAATTATTAAAAAGAATATCTGCATGCAAGTTGAAGGCCGAGTTGGGGCTTAGACTGCCCCCAGGTGTCTGTACAGCTCAGCACATAATTCTATTTTTTATTGTTTTAAATATATAAATAATTTATTAAATATAATTAATATTATAAATATAATTTATTTAAAACAAACAAAGGCCTTCTTATTTATATATAAAACCACAGTTGAGGTGTACGTACACCGCAAAGGTGTTGGCTGCAGTATTACGTGAAACTAAAGAGCAAACTATAAAACATATAATAAATATATATATATATATATATATTTGTATATATATATATATTTGTATATATATGTATATTTGTATATATATATATGCATGTATTTGTATATTTTTTAATGTAGAAGGTGTACATACACCTGAAGAGCAGAATATAAAAAGTAAATACATATATATATATATATATATATATGTACAACCGTATATATATATATATATTAGATGTGGA